GGGAAACTTATACAGAGAAAAGGACTGGGGGGGGGAGGCAGAGGGGCCACCAATGGAGAGGGACGGGAGGGGAGATCAGAGGGGGGGGCTGCGCGCATCGACCGCACCTGCGATCTCTCCCAGGTTTTTCCGCACCTCGCGGGGGACAAACCTCTCTCTCTCTCTCTCTCTCTCTGAACCGACAAGAAAGCCAGGGAGAGATGGAGGCGGGAGATGAAAAGGGCAGCATCCTCCGTGTTGCGGGCGGGCACGTCCCGACGGCGCCAGCGGGGGTCCCCTCCAGGTGCCCCTTCGGGGCCCGATCCTCTTTGGGTCCGGGCAGGTTTCAAGACGGGCGGAGGCGTGCGGGAGTTGCGCGGAGTTTTATTTTATTTTAATTTTTTAAAGCGGTTTGGAAGCGCGTCAAAGGATGGTTTGGATCGTTGCCGTCCTCCTGAGTCCCGGCAACGAGGAAGAAGTGCCGGAGAGCCCCGGGGGTTGAGATCTCTGGCTGCGGAGCCAGAGGTTGGGGGTTCGATTCCCCCCTCCCGGGCTTCCTTAACAAGGCTGGACTCGATGACCTTAGAGGGCCCCTTCTGGTTCTAAGAGGAGGAGGATGTGAAACATCCAAATTAGGGTTCAGGAATTCAGCTGGCTGGATAGCTCCGGGGTTGAGGTCTCTGGTGGAGCCAGAGGTTGGGAGTTCGATTCCACCCCCCACTGGGGCTCCTTGACTGAGGTTGGTCCCTTCCACCTGTAGCCGTTCTAAAAGGATGATGATGGCGAAAGCTTGCGGAGTTGTAGGAGGAAGAACATCTAGGAGAGGGCTCCCACATCTTAAATTATGTTACACACCTACCTCTTTCTCTCTGACACCCCCCCTCGACCCCCGACACGTGTTTAGCGACAAGACCCGACCACCGTTAGCCAGCGCTGCTTGGGCTCCGAAAAAGTTTGACTCAGTTCGGATGCGGGACCCCCTTGCTTCGTGTCCTGGAAGGAGAACCACCACGGATCAGACCCGGGTGTGTGTGACGCCTTCCCTCGCCCCCTCTCTTCCCTTTCCCCTCCCCACACCGCGCCGTTTCCCTTCCAGCGATGTCTCCATCTTCGTTTGCTCGCCGTGTCTGAAAGGGTACTGTATTCTGGATCAGGAGACACGCGTGTCTGCCCCTTCAAAAAGGAACGAAGAGAAGGAACTAAAGGGTGTGTGTGTGTGTGTGTTTTTCGGTCTCCCGTTCAATTGGGCATCTCTCTCACACACACACACTCACGCACAGGACATCCAACGTTTGCGCAAAAAGCGCAAGCCAAAATGATAGATTTTTTTCCCCGTACTGTCTTTGCGCGCTGCAGTTGCACGGGGGAATCCACCCTAGGGTGCTGAAATAGACCTAGGCAGAAAAGCGGGTTCGCTTCTATTCCTAAACGCTGAGCCCCGTTTGCTGATCTCAAAGAGAAGAAAGCAGCCAAAGAGAACGGTTTTAGTGAGAAACGAAGGCAGAAAAACCCCCACGGAAAAAGAAAGAGTGGGTCAGAGAAGGCCAGCGCACGCCGACGTGTTTTTTTTCCCTCTCCCCCCCCCCCTGTTTCTGGAAAAGGACAAAAATAAAATAAAATTAAACTGCTAACGGGTAAAATGATCCGAAACGAGATCCAAAGGATTTCTCTTTTAAACGAGGGCAAAGCGGAGTCTGGCGAGCCGTCAGCTCCCGGCCACGCAGCGCGTCTCCGAAAGAAATCGCCTGGAACCGGATTGCAAAAAGAGAAAGCGAAGCGGAGTGAAACCTTGGTTGGGTTTCACCCAGACACGCGCTAAATCAGTTTCTTATAGAAATCACCCCATTGCCTGTTAGGAGGAGGAGGATGGTGGCCTCGTTTCCCCCCACCCCACCTCGCCAGCCCTTTCCAAACGGGTTTCGCTCTACCGCAACCGTTTTTAATCCGTTTCACAAAACGGAGTGGCCAGCTTCTTAGTTTTTTAAAATATATATATTTAAAAGTGAAGACGCCTTCCGCTTGGAAGACACTGCCTGCAAATCTTTCCTAGAATTGCAGGCGATGGACTTCGATGCCAAGAGAGGTGTTTTAAATTTTTCATCTCCGAAAGGAGCCTTTGAATGAGTGGCAAGCGGGGGGGGGGGACTTTTTAACCCATTAACCGAAGCTGGTTGGAGGGCCAGGGCGATTTCTCATTTTCTCTGTAGCTAAACGTGGCTCTTTCGCTTTCTCCCACCGATCCACAGCCAGCGCCAGGCTCCGTTTACTCGGGAGTCAGACCCACTGAATCTTTTTAAAAAAGAGATTTATTCCCGAAGCCAAGCAGAGCTTCGTATCTTTACCGCTCAATTATTTGGGTTTGGAAAGGAAGTGACGGTCAATCCGAGGAGGCTGAGATCAGAGGGGGAAAAACACCCGCAAGGCTTTGCAGGACTGGGGAAAAAATGCAGGATTTTCATGACGGGGGGGGATGTCAAAAAACAAAAATTTAGATGTAAAGAAAAACAGGTCGAAGGTCCGTCCGGGCTAAACAGGAGAAGGACAGCCAGATGCGTTAAAAAAAGGTATAGATAGGAGGAGGGGGGGATCAGATTTTAAACTATCTAATCCAGGCAGTGGGACTGGCATTCAACTCCATAAGGCTCTTAAAATAAATCAATTATTTTTAACCCTTTCTTTTCATGGATGCTTACAGGAGGCTGAAAGGGGTGTCTTTCCCTTCCGGCGGAATCTAAAATTTGGGTATTTTTATGGATGGAAAGGCGCACCGAGCGGACCCGTGCGTGCCTGCGATGTTGGCTCAAGGCGGGCGAGTCAGGGGAATAAAACCATCATCTACAAAGCCGGGATAGAAATAAAAATAAATAAATAATTAAACAGCCTTCATGCCACTGGGACGCCACCTTTTCTCCAAAATGTCAGGTCACCCGTGATTTGACAGGACCATCCGTCCGAATTTTGCAGGTGGAGAGCAAAGAGATCAAACGGGGGAAATTTGGTCTCCTGGCCTCGAAGGAAATGACTCGTGTCTTGAGAATACGGAGCCTAGGAGGAGGGCGGACACGCGTGTTTCAAAGAAATAGCTATAAGTTTACACCCGAATCTCATTGGATCTAATTTTTCGATGAGAAAGAAAGGGATTAGCTTCAGCTTTTTACTATATTTTTTTAAGACAAGTCTGTTCTTTCTTGGTCCTTTGTACGACCACCTGAGTCCCGTTCACACGTGTTCCCCACACCGTATTAGGATCTGACCCGCTCTGACACCCAGAGGTCCTGAAATAAAACAGGCTTCGAAGCGCGTGTCGGTTTCTGTCTCTCTGTTTATGGATCCAGAGGGCTTAAAAGCGCTTCTTTGGGACAGAAGTGGCGTTTCACACATTACCCGTGCAGCAAACCCGGTTCGCTTTCCCCCTCCTCTCCCTTGGCGTGTGCGGGAGGAAAGCGGACTTTTTTTCCCCACCTTGTTTTGCTTCCGTACCGATTCGGACACAGGTCAGGAAATGTTCGAGGGCACCAGTGCGAGACACGTGTTTGCTTCCACGTCTCCAGTCCTTCACGCCAAACACGGGTGTGTCGGCCAAGGGTACCTGTTGCAACCCTGTTCCCCTGGAAGGGAATGATCTGGGTGTCGGGCGGGCGGCTTTGTTTTGTAAAGAACGTGAGGAACGCGTTACGCTCTTTAAAAGGCCCGCTTTTAACCGGTCCAGCTTCACCAGCGTTGCTTGAACCGGCTTTTCTCGCCTCCTTTTACGCACAGAATTACGCACGAAATATTTTGCCACGAGATTTAGGGGCGCCTCGTTTCCTCGCCGAATCATCTCCCAAGCTAGCCTTTTTAATGCTGTAAACCGCCTTTGGCGCTTTGGAAGGAGAAAGGCGGGGTAAAAATGTTTTAAATTAAATATATATATAAAATAAATAGGAAATGCTTGATTTTCTCTCTCTTTCTCTTTGCACCGGGAGCTTAAAAACCCTTTCCATTTCTTCCCTTGCCCGCCCCCCCTCTTTCGAAAGCCTTATCGGGTCTCCTGAAAAAC